TGCTGAAGCAGTACAAAAGGTAAATTCTCTTTCTTGTTTAAAAAGAGCTGGCTGAGAGTTATTCTGAATTGATTCAGGTTTGAATCAATCACTAGAGAAAGGCTGATTTTTAACTAAAGCTGACTCAAGACTATCTGTCAAGGCCTTTTCTCACATCCACTTTGATTTCTTTTCAAAAAATTTCTTCAGTGACTAATTCACTATCCTCCCTCCCCCCAAAAGGGGGAACTACATATATCAGTGACACAGTTTATGTACCAACACTTCCAGGGACGTAAGCTGTGTTGTCTTCTTCTCAGTGCTGAGACACTCATGTTCAGGGACTCTGTAGTCAGCAGCAGTCTTCAGATTATACGCTCCCATATTTTCCCGTGCTTTTCTGATGGCCTCGACATCCTTGGGATTCTCATAGTCATCACTAGGTTTGCTCTGGTATCTGGTCAGTACAAAACAAAGCTAAGCTTTAAGACAGAAAGCATATAGATGAACAAACAGGGTCATTTCATACCTTCTGCTTTCGTAGCAAGGCTTGGGAGGTGAGCTAGAGGTCTAGAATCACAGACCTCTTTCAGAAACCAGTGGCTACTTTGAGAAAAATATCCTTGCACATTTGATTTAAAACCTCAGATTCTTAATTTTTTTCCCCAAAAGCTTTTATAACATAACTCTACCATGGGACAGGTTAAACCCCTACACTTGGACTGAGTTCTGCGTTTAGTGAGTACATAAAATCACAGAATCAAAGAAATGGTTTGGGTTTGAAGAGACCTTAAAGATCATCCAGTTCCAAACCCCCCGCATGAGCAGAGACACCTCCCACTAGACCAGGCTGCTCAAAGCCCCATCCAACCTGCCCTTCAACACTTCCAGGGAGGGGGCATCCACAACCTCCCTGGACACCCTGTGCCAGTATCTCACCACCCTCACACTAAAGAATTTCTTCCTAATGTCAAATCTAAATCCTCCAGCTTAAAACCATTACCCCTCATCCTATCACTACACACCCTGGTAAAACGTCCTTATAAAAAGCCCCTCCCTGGCTTTCCTGTAGGCCCTCTTCAGGTACTGGAAGGTCTCTCTAAGGTCTCCTTGGAACCTTCTCTTCTCCAGCCTGAACAGCACCAATTCTCTCATCCTGTCTTCATGAGAGAGGTGCTCCAGTCCTCTGATAATCTTTGTGGCCCTTCTCTGGACTTGCTTCAAAAGCTCCATGCCCTGCCTGTGTTGAGGGCTCCAGAACTGAACACAGCACTCCAGGTGAGGCCTCACAAGAGCAGAGGAGAGGGGCAGAACCACCTCCCTTGACCTGCTAACTGTGCTGCTTTTGGTGCAGCCCAGGACACAGCTGGCTTTGAGCTGCAAGCGCACATTGCCGGCTTATGTTGAGCTTTTCATCAACCAACACCCTCAGGTCCTTCTCCTCATGCTTGTTCTCAATCCATTCACTACCAAACCTGTATTTGTACTTAGGGTTGCCCCAACCCAGGTGCAGAACCTTGCACTTGGCCTTGTTGAACTTCATGAGATTGGCATTGGCCCACCTCTCCAGCCTGTCAAGGTCCCTCTGGATGGTCTCCTTTCACCCATCATGTCAACCACACCACATAGCTTGGAGTCATCAACAAACTTGCTGAGGGTGCACTCAATACCACATGTTACTGACAAAGATGTTAAACAGCACTGGTCCCAGTACTGACTCCTGAACAACACCACTCATCACAGGTCTCCAACTGGACATTGAGCCATTGATCACTACTCTCCAAGTACAACCATCCAGCCAATTCCTTATCCACCAAGTGGTCCATCCATCAAATCCATATTCTTCCCATTTTGAGACCAGGATGTCATGCAGGACAGTGTCAAATGCTTTGCATAAATCCTGGTAGATTATGTCAGTTGGTCTTCCTTTGTCCACTGACCCTGTGACCCCATCATAAAAGGCCACAAAATTTGTCAGGCATGATTTGCCCTTGGTGAAGCCATGTTCGTTGCCACCAACCACCTCCATATTTTCCATGTGCCTTAGCAGAGCCTTCAGGAGGATCTGCTCCATTATCATGCCAGGCACAAGGTGAGTCTGCCTGGCCTAGTTCCCTGGGTCTTCCTTCCTTCCCTTTCTGAAAATGGCGGTTGTGTTTCCCCTTTTCCAGTCCGTGGGAACTTGACTTTCAAGTACGAAGGAAAGTGGCATTGCAACTTCATCTGACAGCTCTCTTAGGAACCACAGATGTATCTTGTCAGGTCCCATGGACTTGTGCACTTTCAGGTTCTTTAGATGGTCTCAAACCTGCTCTTCTCCTACAGTGGGGGGGATCTTCCTTTCCCAGTCTTTGCCTCTGCCTTCTGTGGACAGTGTGGCCAGAGCCCTTACCAGTGAAGACTGAGGCAAAGAATGTCATTCAGTATCTCAGTCTTCTCCATATTCTACATGACGAGGTCTCCTGTATTCTTCTGGAGAGGGCCCACATTTTCCCTGTTCTGCCTCTTATCACTGATGTACCTGTAGAAGCACTGTTTATTACCCTTGATGTCCCTGCCCAGGTTTAACTCTGTTTGAGCTTTAGCTTTCCTAACCTGATTCCTGGCTTCTCTGATAACTTCTTTGTGTTTCTCCCAGGCTATGTGTGCCTTTCTTTTTTTGTCTAGAGTGTGTCCAGGAGCTCTTTGTTAATCCACGCAGGTCTCCTGGGTGGATTCTTCTCCCGTAAACCATATCCACCAACACCACATCCAAACGACCCTTAAACACATCCAGGGATGGTGACTCAGCCACCTCCCT